CAATTAGTATAATAAAGTCTCCAGTTATAAGACAGATTCTCAGATTATGTGTTTCAAAAGGGGATTATGCATTCTTTATAAGAAAAAAGTTGGAATTTAAAGAATACATACTTGATATACACTGAAAAGAACTCAGCGTCTTTTCTGTGATATTCCTGCCATACTCTTCATAAATGTCAATGTCATGAAATATAAAAAAAAAAGACTCTTCCAGATTAAAGAATACTAAGGAGATATAATAATTGAATGCAATGCATGATCTTATACTTTCTTTTGCTATAAAGGACCCTGTTGGGACAAATGGCAAAATCCAAATGAGATCTATAGATTAGATAAATGCCATCATACCAATGTTAATTTCCTAAGTTTGATAATGGTACTGTTGTTATAAGACAATTCCTTGTTTTTAGGAAATACACACTGAAATACGTGGCAATGAAGAGGCATTACGCCTGCAACTTACTCTTGAATGGTTGGAAAAAAGTATATATTAACTGACAGATATAAGGAGAAAGAAGAAGGGAGAAAGTAAGCAAGAGAGAAGATAAAGCAGATATAGCAAAATGTTATCATTTAGAGAATCTGGGTGCATTTTGTACTGGGAATTCTTTATACTGTTATTACATCATTGTCTGAAATTATATCAAATTTTAAAAATTTCCTAAAAGGTTAGGAAATTTAAAAGATATACCAAGAAAAAATTACCAGAAAAGCCTAGTATTGACATTAAATAAACATTAAGGTAGTCAGTATTATTAATGTCCTGTTATATCCTGACTACCTAGAACAATGCCTGGCAATTGGCCCATGCTTGTAAAATACTTGCTTAATGAAGGAGTTAGTAATAAAGACAGTTAATATATAATGATAAAAAGAACAATTACTAAGAAGATATATTAATTTTAAAGTTGTATGTTTCTAGAAACATAGCTTCAGAATACTGACAAATACCAGACAAATATATTGATAGTAGGCACCAACTATAGATACTAACCACATACTAGGCAATAAATAAGAAATAAAAACCTCAGCAAACTTCAAAGAACCAATTACATGTCATCTACATTTATTAGTCACAATGCAATTAAATTAGAAAATAATGGCCATAGAATAAAAAATTCATACATTTCAAAATGTTAAGGTGTACTTCTAAATATCACATGAATAAAAGAAGAAATGGAACTTAGAAAATGTTTAGAATTAAATAATAAAAAAAATACTAAGTTTCAAGACTTATAGGAAGAAGCTGAAGTGGTTCCTAGAGGGAAATTTACAGGCTTAAATGCTTTTATTACAAAAGTGTAAAGTTTTCTAATAAACTGAAAATTAATATATGAAATATCTAACACAAAACTTGAGAAAGAAACAGATAAAACAAAAGACATATACAAATGTTGATAATATTAGTTCCTATTATTTGGGGGATATCTGAAATGTTTCATGATTTGTTTTGAGTTTCATTTATTTTTTCCTTTAAATTTTTTTATTTTTTAAAAATGTTTGTGGGTACATAGGTCTATATATTTATGGGGTACATGAAATGTTTTGATACAGGCATGCAATGTGTAATAAGCACAACATGGACAATGGGTTATCCATCCTCTCAAGCATGTATCCTTTGAATTCCAAACAATTCATTTATATTATTTTAAAATATACAATTAATTTATTATTGACTATTATCACCTTGTCCTGCTATCAAATATTAGGTCTTATTTTTTCTATTTTTTTGTACCCATTAACCATCTCCACCTCCCCTCAATTCCTCACTACCCTTCACAGTCTCTGATGACCATCTTCCTACTCTTTATATCTACGAGTTCAATTGATTTAATTTTTAGATCCCACAAATAAGTGAGAACATGTGACATTTGTCTTTCCATGCCTGGTTTATTTTGCTTAACATGATCTCCAGTTCATTCATATTGTTGCAAATGAACTGTTGGGGGGAATGTAAATTAGTACATTAGTAAATTAGTACAACCACTATGGAAAACAGCTTGGAGGTTTCCAAACTATTTCCAAACTATTTTCCATAGTGGTTGTACTAATTCACATTCCTATCAACAGTATACAAGGGTTCCCTTTTCTCCACATTCCTGCCATCATTTGTTATTGCCTGTCTTTTGGATATAAGCCACTTCATAACTTGGATATAATTAATAATTTCATATAATTCATAACTTCATAATTTGGATACAAGCTACTTCATAATTTGTAAAAGAGAAAGATGTCATACAAGCTAAAAATATTTGTGAATAAATATTTGTGAATAAACAAGCAGTAACTTTTCTACATCAAAAACATTAGAGAAAGTTTCTGTTCAAGATGGTAGGTAGGTAATGCATTTGTTTCACCTTTCCGAGATTCAATGAGTGAAGCAATAAAAATACACAAAAATGAGTAAATTTATGAAAATCCTAACAAAAGAGTTATCATTAACTGATCACCACTTGTGATGAATTTCAGGCAGCTGAAAAGCTGATGGGATCTTAGTGGAGATAACCCTGAGCAGAGAGAACTGCAGCTCAGAACTACAAGAGAGATGTTTCACTCAAAGGCAGCAATTCTTTCTGACTGAATGCCATCTTACTCCACACTGGGTCAGTACATACAATGAGCAAGCATGGACTGCAGTGAACTGTGCTGAATCAAGTAGGTGTATAATTAAAGATCTGTCTACTCAACAGCTATTTTTGGAACACCAACAAACCCACCCACTCCCACTCCTGTCATGAACATAAACATGTGCAGACCAGCTGGCTGAAGAAATCCTCAGCTACAGCTTCAGGAACTCTTCTCCAAACAAAATAGAGTTATTTGTCAAGGAAGGATGGAAAGTGTGGGTGTTTTATCTATAGAGATGATTAACTACCTCTACAAAAGAATCAGAGGGAAAAAAGAATTGACTATTTCATCTGGCACAAATGAAAACAAAGTTTTTCTACCCCTAATAGAAAAGTCTTCTTATTTTGGCAATCACTGAGTGAGTCTGCCTTTTCCCCTTCACTTACACGAAAGGGAAGTTCACAAATGTGTGGGATTCAAGAACTTACACAAATCAAATGATCATACTAGAGTGAGATCTTACGGTTAAAAAGATCTATTCAACTGCACAGGACACCCTACTACTTAACATGGCCCTTCATTTAAAGATTACCAGCTACTGAGGAAAATCAAAACCATGAAAGAAAAAAAAAGCCAGAAGAATGAGTGTGGTGTCTGATCCTGGAGAAAAAAGTGATGGAAAAAAAGGTATCTTCATATTTTAAAGTCCCTTGAATCTTTTAAGAAAGAGATGCTTTGAAAAAGAAATAAGAGTTGGATGAAGTTTATTTATCCATATATTTCACAATTTATGGATATGGTAAATTTGATACATAGCAAATTTCACAATTGACTGTAATTAATATGCATGATACTTACTGTCTTTTTAACTTTTATAAATTAATGAAATTTCCTCTTCCATAAGTTGTTTACTGCTGCCTAAACTATAACAGTAATGATTAAACATAATACCCAACGGGAAATTCAGTAAGCAACCTCCTGAATATACATTATGCACTTTCCAAATGAAAGCCACAATAGGTACGAATATGCTAGGGCCAATAGACTCCTGCTCCCTACTCTAACAAAGCTTTTCAGAATCTTACCAGACCCAAGGTCCTAAGGACAAACTGAGTCCTGACTGAATAGTTCTTGGAGATTTAGCAACATAACAGGTTAACCCAATCTGAATGTCTTTTAAATAAACAGTCGTGTTCCAGCATTGTATCTAATCTGGGAAGGGCTTGACAGAATTTAGAAGTTATGGAATAAACCCACGTCTTGGATAGTGTTCTAAAATTATCCTAACCTTCTAGAAGAGATGAGCATTACCTGACTCATATTTTCTGGGAAAAGTCCAAAATGAAACCAATCATTACAATGAGGCATAAAAATAAGGTATCATCTCTCCCCCAGCCTTTTCAAGTGTACCATTTATAGTACACTTAATCCTTACAAGGGAACTCAATGTATTGAAAGAGTTAAGAGTTATATTGTGCCTTTAAAAGTGCATAAATGATACTAGAGAGAACCTAATGCAGTTTTTCTATAGCATTTGTACAAAGGAAACTTGTTAAAAGAGCGAATAATGTTCCTCATTACCTGTATCATATGACACAGCAGAACAGTTACACTTCTATTGCTCTTCACATATGTACAAATACAAAATATCTCCGCATCAAACTTCTACTTAATTGCTGACTTCCAGCAAAATCATAAATTTGACCAAGTTGATCTCAGAGTTTTAGAATCTCCTTTCCACAGTTTTGCCCCCACAATCAAACTCTTTTTCCTCCTGTTCACATGCCAGTTCTCTACCATCTTCATGACTTTTTTCAGCACCAACAAACCAAAAACACCCTAGAGTCAAACTGGTCCAATGTCGTCATTTTAGAAAAAGCTAAACTGAGTCCAGGAGAGTTATGACTTACCCAAGGTCACACAGCTAACAAGAGATGAAGCTAAGACCAGAACTGCGCCTCTGATGCCCTATGCAATGTTTTTTCCACTATGCCAAGCTGCCTCTTTAAAAACTGCAAAGCATAGAGTATTTATGTGTATCTTCACAACTCTCAACCTCTCCTCTCTGTGCCTTTTTCCTCTTGGTAAAATAATTTCTCAACTTTCAGTCACAAATAACCCTCTCTCTTATTAATTCTGTATCCATGATAAAACAGGAAAGGATTTACTACTCATTTACACCAAATGATTCATTGAGTGATAACACTTCTATTGTGTTTCTAATGTTATATTTATTCTTTAAAATGGAAAACACCTCACTACCTCCCAAATCAACATATTACAAAGCTTAATAATTACATCCACAATTTAAATTCAGAAAAAAACCTAAATAACCATAGAGTCTTACTTTGCAGAAAGCCATGTTACAACATTTGTTTCATTGCTTTGAAAAAAAGCCAGAAAGTACATATCAATTCTATTTCAATACTCACCACGAAAGTGATTTGATTGTGTCGCAGGTTAAGTTCAATTAGTGAATCCAGCCCATTAAGATTATCAACATGGCTTAAAAAGTTTTTGGCGAGATTTAAAACTCTCAACTCACACAAATGATTAATATTTTCAATTTTGGTAATCTGTTGAAAAAAATAGGAAAGGGGTGATTAGCAGGCAACAACCTGAAATATCCATGTTCTAAAAACCCTAAAAATAAAATATTCAAAATCACTGGATTCAGTGGCAAGTTTATATGTAGACATTTAAAAATCTATTTTCAATTTCCTATGTTGTAGATAATATGGAGTCACGTAACTTGTGAACATTAACTAAAAGATCATGTTTTACAATTTGACCATAGTAAATACTTGAAGTAAATTTCATCAAATAATCAATGAGTCCATTAGGCAACTTTAAGTGCTCGATACTTTGCCAGGTCTTGTGAAGGCTACACACTACCTGCCAAATAAAAACATACTGTGAGCCCAAGGTACATAAGTTCATCATGTTTTAACAAAGTAAGTCCGCCCTCGGACAGAAAAGGCAAGGGAAAGGAACAACCATCAAGTTACCCTTGTTAATTCTATTTAAACTGCAAGATCTTGAGAGCAGTCGAGTCTGAATGGAAAGAGTCAAGGAACTACGATTCCCAGTAGAAGGTGAGGGTAAGTATTTTTTTTATTAATGGAAAACTTAAGAGAGGAGATGCTGCCGGGCACAGTGGCTCACGCCTGTAATCCTAGCACTTTGGGAGGCCGAGGTGGGTGGATCACCTGAGGTCAAGAGCTCATGAGAGGAGATGTTTAGTGAGGGTGCAAAATGGTGTTTAAAACAAGAGGACTTCAATCATGGGATACGCATGTGCATATAATGTTACAGGATCTTTAGGATGTCACTTTTCTGGCCAGAAACCTCTGTGGCCAGTGGCACCTTTGCCCAAGTTTCACTCTGGCTCACTGGGCTCATTTTTACCTACTTGCCCTGGCAGGCTATGCTCAGCTCATGCTACTGGCCTGGGTCCCATGCCTGCTAAGGGCAAGTCAGGCATGGAGCTGTGAAGGATGTGTGAGCAAGCATGGGGTCTGGCCACCATGCACAGTCAGACATGCTGGCTGCTACGGCAGGATGGGCAGCTCCACATGCTGGCACAGACACCAGCTCTCTGAGAGTCTGTGGCTGGACCAGGAGCACTGCAAGCAGCTCCCGCAGCCGGCACTGGGGAACATGGTGGTGCCCGGAAGCTTGGATATACCAGGAACCTCAGGGCCCCAAAGAGGGAGTCACAGCCACAGCCTGGGGAGCTCCCAAGCCTAGGTGTCCTGAAGGGCCACAGTTCCCTTCTCTTTGCCTGCAACATGGCAAGCAAGGGGCATGTCTCAGCCCTGTTTGTGTTACAGTTCTTTTAGCCTTGCCATTCTGGGGGTCGCAAATTCTGTGGGTCCCAAGTTCTTGTCCTGCAACCAGGAAGAGTGAGGTACACAGACAAGTAGAGGGTAACCAAGACAAAGAGAAGCTTTTTGTTATTATTATTTCTGAGATGGAGTCTCACCCTGTCTCCCAGGCTGGAGTGCAGTGGCACAATCTTGGCTCACTGCAACCTCCACCTACAAGGTTCAAGTGATTCACCTGCCTCAGCCTCCCAAGTAGCTGGGACTACAGGAATGTGCTACCACATCTGGCTTATTTTTTATATATTTAGTAGAGACAGGGTTTCACCATGTTAGCCAGGATAGTCTCGATCTCCTGACCTCATGATCTGCCTGCCTCAGCTTCCCCAAGTGCTGAGATTACAGGGTGAGCCACCGTGCCTGCCCAAGGAGCTTTCTTAAGTAATAGAGCAGCTCCTTTCCACACCCAGAGTGTCCCAATGAATATTCAGCTCCTAACAGAGAAGGTGGCTTCTCTCTACTAGGCAAGTCATCTTGACAAGTGTTCAGCTATCAGCAGAGATGACAGCTCCTCTCTGCAACTGATCATCCCATCATCTCTGCAGCTCTCAGCAGAGAGGAGGCCCTAGAGTGAGTTGTTCCTCTCTGTGGATGGTCATCCCAATGTCTCTGCAGCTGTCAACAAAGAGAAGGCCCTAGAGTGGGTTGCTCCTCTCCATATCTGGTCAACCCGATGTTGGTTCAGCTCTGGCTGAGTCCTGGCCTTTTATGGGCCTCAGGGTAGAGGAAGTGCATGCTGATTGGTCCATGGGCAGCCACGGGAAGGCCCAGAAAAGGTACCACAAGTTCCCACTCCAATTGGTGGGACTGGCAGCCTGGCCCCCAGCCTTCAGACCTGCCCCCTTTCACCCAGGAAACTGTTTGCATCCTGATGCCATTCATGGCACCCAAGATGTAGGTATGAAGGTGCACCTGTAGGCCAGTACCTAGCTGCCCTCAGGCCTCCTCTGCTTCCCTCCTGTGCTTTTTGGCACTGAAAGTCCAGAGGGGCTGAGGTGGCAAGGGGCCAGTGTGTCAGCACTGCCCCAAGCATGTGCATACCTGGCCAAGGTACCACGGCACCCAGGCTCAAACCCATCTTTGCTCTGAGATTGGAGCAGGCACCGAGAGCAAAGAGAATCCAGACAGCAGGAGCAGACATTTCGGAAGTTGCCAGGGCACAGGTGTGGGGGGAGCTTCCTGGGTCCACAGCTGCAGTTTGGGAGGTTGCAGCTGTACCCAGGAGGGTGGGGCTCCCACCTACTGTGGGGCCCCAACAGCATAGGGATATCCAGGTCTACAGCCATGGCTTGGGCGGTTACAGCAGCACCCAGAAGCTCCTGCCCAAACCCAGAAGGGGTGGGGCTCCCGCTAACTACGTGGAGCACGTGGAGCATGTAGCCCTGGCCATGCCTCCCTGCTTCAGCCAGTGTGATGGCAACAGACACTCCAGGCGGCCTGCTGCTGCCATTAACAATCAGCTGGGTGCAGTGGCTCACGCCTGTAATCCCAGCACTTTTGGAGGCTGAGGTAGATAAATCACAAGGTCAGGAGATCAAGACCAGCCTCACCAACATGGTGAAACCCCGGCCTCTACTAAAAATACAAAAGTTAGCCGGGCATGGTGGTGTGCACCTATAATTCCAGCTACTCAGGAGTCTGAGGCAGGAGAATCACTTGAACCCAGGAGGCGGAGGTTGCAGTGAGCCAAGATTGTGTCCCCAACTCCAGCCTGGGATGACAGTGTGAGACTCAGTCGTGAAAAATAATAATAATCAGCACTAAACTGCAGCAGAGAAGTTTGGGCTGCACACGAAGGGGAGGATAAGTAAAAACCGTAACACTGTAAAATGATGACAGCTCAAGTGATGTTAAGCCCCACTATTACAATAGAGCAAGTATAGCACAATGGGATGAGTTTCTGTATCACACAAAATAGGGGTCCTCATGAAGGATTTCATCAGCCTGATAAGTACTTAAATAGCAATGAGTCATGCACATAACACATTTCTTCTGAACATTAAAATGAATTTCACAGTCACTAGAGATTAATTTGCTCATTTGTATTGTCATCACGGTATATTTGAAATTTTTTTCTAACGCTTCAAAGCAGATGTTAGCTAAAATTACTTTTATTAGATGTCTAATCTATATGTCACATTGTTACTTGGATACTTACATTCAAAAAACACTATTTAGGTTCTATCTAGTTTCCAGAAGAGAAATATATGTTTATTGTAAATTCAATAATACATAAACATAACCTATGACCACATTTAAAATGTGTTCTAAGAGTTTTGATCTAACTAATGTAAAATAGAATCATATAGAAGTTGAAAAAGAAGAAATAAGATTATGAGTATTCACAGATGATAAAACTGTATAATAAGACATGGAACAAAACATTTTAAAACTAAACAGGTGATAGAATTCAAAATGCATGAAGCCAGTAAAAAGCAAAATAGATACTGTAGAAAAAGACATCAGTAATGTCAACACAAACTTAGAAATCCTCCCAAACTGCTAAGGAAAAACAGATAGGAAGAATAAAAGATAAGATGGAGATATGGAAGACAATATAGACATAACAAATATAAATGGAAAAGAAGCAATGTTTAAATATAGAAAACTTTCCCAAGCTCAAGAAATATATAAATATATAGTTAAGGGGCACAATTGTTGTATTATCTGCACAGTGTGTTTTCTCCCTTCTGCTAATAGTTCTGAACATTTCTTTTAGAAAACTACCCTTCCACATGGTCCTGGTGGGGCTTACAATTAGAAGGTCTGCATTTAGTTACCTTCTAGATAGAAAAGTCTGAAAAGAAACATTGTTAATTCTTGTATATAGGTATCAACCCATATTTTTAAAATCACCAAGGATATTATCTGGCTTCTTGGTTTGCAACCCAACAGGCCAGAATCATGTACAACATCTGCTATGGAATAAAGTTAATGACTCTTTATAGCCATGGACAAAGTCACAAGCATAGAGCAGATAATAGCAGCTCAGGCAAAGGGTTGTGTAAGGTGAAAACATAGATATGGATTGACTGATATACTTCACAGCAAGAAAAAAGATGATGGGAATGTTGGAAAGCCCACCTATGGGTCATACGGATCAGAGAGTCCCAATATAGACTGCCAGACTTAACACATCTAGGAAAAGCTGGATACTCCAGTCTTAACCTTTGTGTGTGACAGTAACCCAGACTGCTCTGCCTGGATAAAGATAACCTTCCTACCTAGCAATAGACAAAGGGCAAGTGTTTGCTTTCAGGTAAGCAACCACAGAAACAGCAGGCTCTCCCTGGAGGAAAAGATCACTGAAAGAATAGATTCTTCTTGAAGCACACCTGTGTCTATGTTAAAGCAAAAATTCACTGAGAGAAAAAATTATGGTTAACCAACATAAGATCTAGGTTAGAAATTCCTAGTCAACCTCCTAGATTCCTCTGTATTCACTACCCACATATAATTAATTGCCAAGTCTTGATGTTTCTACTTTTTAAATATTTATCCACTCTGCCCCCTTATATCCTTAATTGCCACTACTTTAGTTCATGCCACTATCACCTCTCACCAAGATTATTATGATTAGTTTCTCTCAACTATTCTGTCTCCATTTCCCCTCCTCCATCTCTACTTCCCAATCCATTTTCTGAATATCACCACCTTTACTCAGAATGATTTCACATCCATAAACCAATTATGTTTTATTTCACAATGTGTACCAAGCATATTTTTATTTCTAATAGAAGTTCAAAAGACAAAAAACATTCACTTAATTTCTTTTAGCTTTTTTACTATAAGATGCTAAATTTTTAGAATTGAACATTAGTTTTTCATCTTGAATAGTTCATTCCTGGCTTTTAGAAACCTAAGGTCACTAAGACTGTGTCTTTGCTTTTAAATACCGTGAATTTTTGCTTACTGGATTCAGATATTATGAAACACGACTCAGATTTGCATTTAAAACTTCCTTCTTATAGTTATAGAACCTTGAGAAGCAATTTTTACAGTACAAATGTTTCATTTTAATATATACAATATCACAAACATATGCTGAAATTATAAAATACATAACACAGGTCAGCTAACAAGGAATAGACACTTTTCATCAGCATAATGATTGGTAAATAATGCTACACATAAAGTATAGATCAAATGATATGGTATTCATTTATCAGGTGCTCTTGAAGATCTTGGGTAGTACTCACAAATTCTTAAAGGTATATTAGAATTTAAAAACCGTATGTTTATAATTTCTCATATATACACTTTAAACAAGAAAAATACTGCTATCATAAAATGTTTTATTTATAGTTATTCACAGTTTTTAAAATAGAGGATAAAATACCAATTCCTTTGCTTGGCATACAAAGCCCTCCACAATCTGGCCGTTGCCTACCTTTCTAATCTCTTCTCTCACTATCCTTCCACACATGCCCTATTCTCCAGTGGTAAACACTTACTGTGTTGTTTTCTATCTCAATGCCTTTGCATATGATATTCTTTTACTGTCAATCCTCTTTAATTCTTCTTCCCCTTCCACCACCATCTAACTGGGTAATTTCCCTTTATTGGACAGACAGTAACTGGCCTGCAAAGCTGGACAATTCCCAGGCCACCAACTCTCTTCCCACTTACTACATGCACACAGAGACACACACGGGGCTGGAACCAGATTAGAACCTAGTAGATGTGGCCTATTAAATCAAGATTTATCAAGGTTTTTTTTTTTTTATTAATTACATTAGCTTTTCACCAAAACGATTGGAACCAAAAGCTGTTAGAAAGCCTGGAGAGATCACACTGAGGTTTGCACCTGACCAACTGTAAGCAGCTGTGGAAGAACTTGTTCATCAACAGGCAGGGACTCCCAGATCATCCCAGGATTGCTGAAGAGACTTTACATTCTGCATGAGCATGTAGCTCTTTAACTATTTATAAATATCACATTTCAAAAACAAAAGTTTAAATGGATGATGAAAGGACTGAAAAACAGCGAATATGCTCTGACAGAGAAGAATAAAGAGAGGGAACATAACAAACCAGATATAGAAATTCAGACAGATATGGGAGTAGACAAATTGACTGAACATAATTGGAACCCTAGATTATATAGTAATCAGGAAATATAAATCAAAACCACAAAGTGATACCAGTTTATACCAATTCGATCAGAAAAAATTAAAAAGTCTGACAAGTCCACTGAAAAGAATAAGAAGCATAATGATTATGTATTAGTGGTAGGAGTACAAACTGGTATGCTCCCTCTGGAAAGCAATTTGGCATTATCTTTTAAAGTTAAACATTTAAGTAGCCTATGACTCATCAGTTTCACTCCTATATACTCTAGAATACAGACGGAACATGTAGAAGAGGAGTCATGTACAAGAAAGTTCTTAAAAGTACTATTCATAATAGCAAAAAATGAGATAAAACAGACAACAACAACAACAAAAACAGGAAACAACCAAATGTCTATCAATAAGAAACTGGAGCAAAAGTTTTTGTACAGTCTTACCATGGAACATACAACCATACATAAAACTATAGCTACTCAAAATAGTTAAATCTCAGTAATATAATGCTGTATTCAAAAAGCAAACACTAGATGACAACATATATTATACATTTTTTAAATTAAGAGACAATACTACTAAAGAATATATTATTTAGGCACACCTATATGTGATAAAACCAACTGAGAAGCCCACAAAAGAATGAAAAACATGAAATCTAGAATAGTGGTTACCTGCGATGCAGAAGGAAGGAGATGGAATAAAACAAGAGATACTTAAGTAGAAGAAACTAATATTCTAGGTCTTGGATTGGGGTTGGAAAATGTGTACTTTAAAAATAAGTTAATAAGGAGAGAGATCCAAGATGGCTGATCACTAGCAGCTCGGGATTGTAGCTCCCAGTGAAAGCGCAGAGAACGAGATGACACCACACTTTCAGATGAATTCTTGTTGCTCACACACCAGGAGATTCCCAGCGGAGGAGCCCCACGGGTCGCCAGCGCGACTCTTGTGACCGGCGAGGCGGTTTTGCCGGCGCCTCGGAGCGTTGGTTCTTAGTGCAGCGTCAGAAAAGCACCATCAATCTTAACGCCGCTGATTTAGTCGGCGCAGTGGGTTGCTCAGATTTCGGCGCTGAGAATCAATAAGTTGGACGTCCACTCAGAAACCCAATTACAAAGACGGTAATTATAAAGACCACAGATGGATAAATCTACAACGAAGGGAAGAAAACAGCCAAAAAAGGCTGAGAATACCCAAGATCAGAACGCCTCTCTCTCAGCAAGGGATCACAGTTCCTCATCAGGAACGGAACAAGGCTTGATGGAGAACAAGTGTGTTCCAATTACAGAAGCAGGCTTCAAAATGTGGATAATAAGAAACTTCTGTGAATTAAAAGAACTTGTTCTAACTCAATCCAAAGAAACTAAGAACTTTGAAAAAAGGTTTGACGAAATGTTAACAAGAATACACAATTTAGAGAGGAATATAAGTGAATTGATGGAGCTGAAAAACACAATATGAGAACTTCATGAAGTATGCACAAGTTTTAACAGCCGAATTGATCAAGCAGAAGAATTGAGGAATATCTCAGAGGTTGAAGACCAACTCAGTGAAATAAAACAAGAAGACAGGATTAGAGAAAAAAAGATAAAAAGGAACGAGCAAAGTCTCCAAGAAATATGGACTATGTGAAAAAACCTAATCTACGCTTGATGGGTGTACCTACCTGAATGTGACGAAGAGAATGAATCCAAACTGAAAAATACACTTCAGGATATAATTCAGGAAAATTTTCCCAACCTAGTAAGGCAGGATAATATTCAACTCCAGGTAATACACAGAACACCACAAAGATATTCCTCAAGAAGAGCAACTCCAAGGCACATAATCGTCAGATTCACCAGGGTTGAAATGAAGGAGAAAACACTAAGGGCAGCCAGAGAGAAAGGTCAGGTTACCCACAAAGGGAAGCCTATCAGACTTACAGCAGATCTCTCAGCAGAAACCCTACAAGCCAGAAGAGAGTGGGGACCAATATTCAACATCTTAAAGAAAAGAACTTTCAACCAAGAATTTCACATCCAGCCAAACTAAGCTTCATAAGTGAAGGAAAAATAAAGTTTTTTGTGAACAAGCAAGCACTCAGAGATTTCATCACCACCAGGCCTGCTTTACAAGAGCTTCTGAAAGAACCACTACACATAGAAAGGAACAAACAGTATCAGCCTTTCTAAAAAATACCAAAAAGTAAAGAGCATCAATATAATGAAGAATTTACATCAACTAATGGGCAAAACAGCCAGCTAACATTAAATGGCAGTATTAAACTCACATATATCATTATTAATTCTAAATTTAAATTGACTAAATCCCCCAATCCAAAGACAGGCAATTTGGATAAAAAACTAAAACCCATCAGTATGCTGCATCCAGACCCATCTCACATTCAAGGATACACAAAGACTCAAAACAAGAGATAGAGAAAGATTTGCCAACCAAACAGAGAGCAAAAATAAATAAATAAAAAGCAGAAGTTACAATTTTTGCCTCTGATAAAATAGTCGTTAAAGCAACAAAGATCAAAAGAAGCAAAGAAGGACATTATATAATGATAAAAGAATCAATGCAACAACAAGAAGAGCTAAAGATCCTAAATACATACACACCCAATACAGGAATACCCAGACATACAAGACTTATAAAGAGACTTAGACTCCCACACAATATAGTGGGAGACTTCAACATTAATATTAGACAGATCAATGAGACAGAAAATTAACAACGACATCCAGGACTTGAACTCAGATCTGGAACAAGTAAACTTAATTAACATTTATAGAACTCTCCACTTTAAATACACAAAACATACACTCTTATCAGTACCACATCATATCAACTTAGAAGTTTAAATGAAATGTTGGTTGGCTCCTTGTTTTTCTCTTCCCTCAATTTCTTTCATGTCTCCATTATTAAGCACAATTATAGGCATACCCATATTTAGACTGCATTCTAGCCTGGGCAATAAAGCAATACCCCCATACTCTCCCCCTCTTCCTCTTTCTCTTTCTTCCTCTTCTTTATTCTTTTTCTTATTATTCTTTTTTTCTTTCTCTCTTTAAAAAAAAAAAAAACAAAAAACTGTGGTGATGAAGGGACCACATGATTATTTCAAGGAGGGAAAGCTTAAGATGTCCACATTAAGTAGCTCTTAAAAAAATAAAATAAAATAAAAACAAGTTAATAAACAATAAAATTGACATAATTGTAAGAATTCCAAATGTTTTATAAGCTATATCTGTCATTTACTACTGAGGAGTTACCAAGTCTTATATAAATAAACTTGATACCTTAGAAGTTTCAGTGAATCAATAAAGAAACTCTTGAAAATTTCAATGCAAGTATGATTCTTAAAACTTTTATACCATTTTCCTGAACATTTTTTTTTTCAAAAAAGAAAGAAATGAAAGGGCTCTACAATACCTGATTTCCATGAAGATCCAAGACATCTAAGCTTTTTAGATTCTCCAGATTTGAGATTTTCTTGATTCTGAAAACCAGAATAAGTAGAACAGGAATATGGATGTATCACATCTATCTGTAAATCAAAGCCTGCTAAGTCATAAAGGTGTAACTCATTTTAATTTACTCTACCTACATAGTCACATATATTCAACAATAATTTATTTCCCTCTGATTTATTATAATTTTTAAAATACAATACCACTCAAGAGAAAGAGAGTTTAAATCTCGTATCATTAGAAAAGAGCAATCCTATGTCTAAGAACCTTAGGTCAAGGCACTTCTTTAAGGCAATTCTTCACATTGGAATATAATCTAAACTCCTTACTTCTGCCTACAAGGCACTAAACTGGCTGCTGACTCTTCTGCCAGCCTCATCTCCTACCATAGGCTCGTTCACTCACTCTGCTCCAGCCACAGAGGCATTCTTGCTGTATCTCTAATCTGACAAGCATATTTCCACCTTAGGTTATTTATTCCTGCTGTTCCTACTCCCCTAATGTTCTTCCCTCAAAACTTCACATTATTCGTGTCTCAGAGCAAACATCTCTTTAAAGTTGCTTCCACATGACCCTATTTAAAATAGCTTTCCCTTCCTTTTCCCATTACGCTTTCTTTTCTCTGCTTTGCCTTCACAGAATTGATCATAGCCTAAAATTATATTATTTTGTGTTTACTTTTTTTAAAACTCTCTTGCCAAACCAAAATGTGAGTTTCAAGAGGACATTCTGACATGTTCTCCAAATCTATCCCCAGCACTCATAACAGTGCCTGGTGCCAAGCAGGTACCCAATAAATATTTGTTTAATGAATGAACATACCAACCTAAATGAATAAGTTAGTATGCACAAGGGCATTCATAATAGGATTCTTTATGACAGAGACAAATTGCATACCACCTAAATGCCTTCTACTGGAACCTGCTCAGTTTGCAAAATTCTTATATTTATTTGAAATTTTTGATATGCCAGATGGAAACAATGACAAAAAAAGAATAAAAAATAAAGTTCATGCAACCCATCTTTATCACCATATATTTATCACCATTTTTGCTGTCCTTGTTTACTGCCTCAAAGAGCCATTTCTACCTCTCTAAGTGTTTTCAGAACTTGGATTATCCACTGAATAATATATACGTTATCCATATATAGTGTGTATATATGTAAGATATATATATATATAGTGTGTGTGTATATATATATACATATATACTGATCATTACCATGTAAGCATAATGCAGGCTTAAACTTGATGAATTTCTGTCTCCACTTGATCTCAGTTATCTTTTTTTTTTGAGATGGAGTCTCACTCTGTAGCCCAGGCTGGAGTGCAGTGGCTCACTGCAACCTCCACCTCCCTGGTTGGTTCAAGTGATTCTCTTGCCTCAGCCTCCTGAGTAGCTGAGACTACAGGCATGCAACACCACGCTCAGCTATTTTTTTTTTGTATTTTTATTAGAGATGGGGTTTCACAATTTTGTTCAGGCTGGTCTTGAACTCCTGAACTTGTGATCTGCCCAACTTGGCCTCCCAAAGTGCTGGGACTACAGGCATGAGCCACCATACCCAGCCAATCTCAGTTATCTCATATCATTGCCAAATCAAGCATTATATTACCATAAGCCAATTCAATCCAATTTAATTTAAAAAAAATTTACCATAAGCCAATTCAATCCAATTTAATTTAAAAAAAATTTATCATATGCCCATCATGTATCATCACTGTATACCTGTAGATCTTCCTCACTGCCTGTCACACACACACCACACTGCCTTATGACCACCACCTCCTCGTCAGTCTCCTCTTACATCATCACCCTGACAGAATCTGTACCCTCCCCACTGAACACTCCTATGTCACTTCATCCAAACCATCAGCATTCTTCCAGACTCACTGGACTCCTTCACTAGCCATCACCCAGTGCCAGGCATTTAATACTACCCTATCTAGAATTTAAATCTCTCAAAGAGCTAAATTAATAGCCCAACCAGATGGGAAAACAAATACAACTTTCAACACAATTTTTCCTCTGCCTGCTTTGCTCCTGAAATACCTAGAACAGATGTAGAAAATTATAGTACCCTAATCATACGGCTTAGGACAGAGCCATGCATTCTAATAGTAACCTGACCTCACAGGTATTAGAGAAGCCATTTATTCAATTCCTTTATACTTCCAAGCTCACATTCCCTAAAACAGTGGTTCTCAAATTTCTGGGTATATCATAATCACCTGGAGTGCTTGTGAAAACACTGACTATTTATTAATTTATTTTACCCTCCTTTGAACCAGCTTTGTCATCCTGCTATTTCCCACATTATTGAATTAATTAAAATACTGACCTTTAATGCTGTGATTATTATTTGTCTGAGTATTACATTTTTAACATTTTGAAAATTATGTTAATTATCCAGGGATAATGGAGATTATATCAGCCCAAAGTTCTATGATTTGGAGAATCAATGTAGTCTGTTTCTGTCTTTATCAGAAATCCTGAGCACCTTTAAGGCACTTTAATCAGAGAAACCATCATGTGTAGTATGCCTTCCCTCAGAATTCCACCAGGGCTTCACATATTCACTCCCTGTCTGTTGTGATGGGAACCACCTTTGTAAAATTGTAACAGTGAGAGAAATCTAACATAACTGACTCCATCTTGCTTCTAATCATACAAGCTAACTGTCTTTGCTCATTCCTGCACATAGGCCAAGCTAACTATGGGAAAAATTCAGATTACAGTTTAACTTTAAACCAAGGATGATAATAGTCCCTTCCTAAAACTAACCTCATCTTTACTCAGGAACCAAAAGCATCTTCATAAAACTAATGAAAGACAATAGGGGCTTCAATTCTACTAAGACTCAGGCATAATTAAATAATAACCAGTCATTGTTTTCTAACTTGCCTTTTTGTAATTGCTTACTGCTCAGGAATCACACAGCCAATAGTAATAAGATTTGTGATTTACCCAATTTCCCCTATAGATAACATCGTTAGTGAAACCTAAGACTGGTGTTTGAAATATTTTTCAACATATTTTCAGATTCTGGTAGACCAATTGACACCACTCAGACTGGTGATCAGCACTCAGGAACTGACTCAGTGCAAGAAAAGAGTTTCAACACCCCTGTGATTCCATCCCCAACCCAACAAATAAGCAGAAACCCATATTCCCCAGCATCCTGCCTGCCAAACAACCATTGACAATACTAGTCTCCAAATTCTTGGGGAGGCAGATTTGAGAAATACCTCCCATCCTCCTCACTTGAATGCCTTGTGATTATTAAACTTGTACTCAGCTGCAATACCTGCTGTCTCAGTGTATTGACTTTTCGGTGCAGCAGGCAAGAAGAACCTATTGGGCTATAACATGAATTCTGGTATTAGTTTAGTTTTGACACACAGCTGCTTTATGACTTTCACATCAGATTCGGATTGCTGAGGTGAAGAGGAAGAAAGACAAATTGTTCAATCAGTTAAACCCAAGACCAACCAAATATCTTGCTCTCCTGTTCTCACAAATTGCCTTTGCCATAAATTCTCTTTCCACCCCCGCCAACACCTAAAAACCTAAAAACGTAGCCAATTCGAAAGAATTCAGAGGTAGATGAAGGCATCAGTTGACCTAGAAGGCCCCCACTGGTCAGATTAGGTATTGATGTGAGGAATTTGCAGAATCCTAGCCTGTGTCCCCAGATTTGACCATTTTTACATGAACACCAATGTGACCTAAAAGATTTATTTTAAAAAGAAGTTCTTCCACTGAACAGAAACTAAAACTAGAAAAAGATGAGGGATATACCCCTCTAGGGATATTTCACAGCCTATCTCTGCAAGTCACATTATGTTACTGATGCCAGGATAAAGACCTCACTATAGGACCTATACTCAGCTTTTCAGGCTCAGCTTTTCACGTGTCAGAAACAAATCCTCAAGTGGGAAACTCAAGGAGTCAAAAGGAAAGAAACAGAGAATCCCAGGGTCTAAAACAGAGCTTTGTATCTATAATCCTGGGTGATCAGAAGAAAATGCAGAGAAGTTCTATGCATTAGCCTGTAATGATGAGGGTGGCAGATGACCTGGAGAGAATAAGCAGGAGATACTGAAGGCAGAACAAACAGAGAACAGAAACTTTGACAGCAATGTGGGGTTGGGAGTTCTTTAGTAATGGAAACCTCACATACAGAACCTGAGAAAGGTTCTTTCTTAGCTTTAGAGTAGAAATCTTTGTTGGAGTTGCCTGAACCCAGAGGCTGTGACTGCCCTGAATTTCCATATGTGGTTCTACTGCCTTGGGCCAAAAGACAATGCAGACCTTTGTAATATGGAAAGGAGAAAGCTTTCTGAACTTGACCAGCAGGAAGCAAAGAGTCATCCAATACAAATGCATGAAGAGACAGGCAAGCAGATGTACTTCCCTCTTTACCAGCATCCTTGGCCAGGTTTGCCTAATGTTCACAAAAGTACTAACTCAGGATAGATTTCCATCTTCACAGCTCACAGGCCCCTTGCTGTGTCAAAGTCACAGCAAGCTGGCTGGAGAGCACTTGGCATTTGTTTTAATGATCAGACTTGCATTTTTTAAAAATTGTACTTTAGGTTCTGAGGCACATGTGCAAATCATGCAGGAGTGTTGCAAAGGTACATACATGGCAAGGTGGTTCACTGCCTCCATTCCCCGTCACCTATATCTGGCATTTCTCCCCATGTTATCCCTCCCCAACCTCCCCACCCCCCGCTGTCCCTCCCTTAACCCCCTCAACAGACCCCAGTGTGTGATGCTCCCCTCCCTGTGTTCATGTGTTCTCATTGCTCAACATCCACCTATGAGTGAGAACATGCAGTGTTTAATTTTCTGTTCTTGTGTCAGTTTGCTGAGAATGATGGTTTCCAGATTCATCCATGTCCCTACAAAGGACACAAACTCATCATTTTTTATGGCTGCATAGTATTCCATGGTGTATATGTGCCACATTTTCCTTGTCCAGTCTATCATCCATGGGCATTTGGGTTGGCTCCAGGTCTTCA